TGCGCAGATGTAATTCATTTAACATCGATATTTCATTGATAACCTCAAACGATTCTACAATTTCAATTTCAATAAAAAATATTACGTGAAAAAAAATCGCTAATTTTTTATTTTATATGTCAAATTTGTATATAAAATAAAACTTTTTTTATTAAATAGTAACAAGACACCCTATATGTACATATATAAAAATTTGTTTTTGTTTTTTTAATGTTATGGTACAAATATATCTTTGTATTTTTATCATATATCAAAAATATATTATATTTTTCACGTTAAAAAATGTATTAGCCTTAGAAACATTGCAACCTTAAAATGTATTATGTACATATGATGATATATATTTTAAGTGAGAATTTAAAATTAATAAAATTATATTTAATATAAACAATATTTAATTTTTGAATATTTATATTTTAACACAAAATTGAAGATATTAATGTTTCCGTAAAATAAGTATTTTTGATGTAATAAACTATAATTTAGCAATTTTTATATATGTTTAAATATATCATGCAAAAAACAACACAACAGACAACTTTTTAATAAAAAATATAAAATTTATGCAATAAAAATAAATTATTTCAAAAAATGTATTTAAGTACGTTTGCAATTGTAAATATAAAATGAAACTATTTTCTACATTTTGAAGAAATAAGAAATTAATTATGCTTGTTAATTATGAAATTATATAAAAGCAAGATTTAATAAATTCAGTTTCTCGGAAATATATTAACCTTAATTAGTTTATATATATATATACATATATGTATATATATATAATTAAAATTAATTTTAAATTGATTACAGAGAAATTAAAAATAAAAAGCAATACAACAATAAATTGGATAATAATTTAATGCACATCTATTATTATCTATACAAGTAGCTACGTAGAACACTTCAACCCGCATTTTTTAAATTTTTATAAAGCTCGTGACGTATGAACTGTCAGTAAATTCTATTCTTCATATCGAAATGGAATCGAGAAATATAGATATCGCCAGAGAACATGTCAATCATGCGATTCTATTGCGTTTCTCGGAAAATTTACACGACCGCCGAGCACTCGCTAACGCATCACAATTATCCGTATCTCTTAATTCACGTAATTCATGCGTTCTCTAATCTTATAACATGAAGGGATGACTTCGCCGCTATTCGCATATTCCGTGCGAGTATTTCGCACCTATCTCACAGACTATACTCGCCAATCTTCTCGAGATGCGCAGCATCGTGAATCTTCCCTTGAATACAGATTATTCCTACACTGAATTTTCCTCATCAAAAGTCTAAATGGATGACGGCGCGACTCTCTGCCTGTCACCTTTAAATATCTCGGCGCGTAAACTTCTGTCGATACTCTTTAATATGTAACATCCGTAGTGTCAACGAATTATTAGCCGTAAAGATTACAAAACTTTTTCACTCTAAATGACTTTATGAAATATCTCCTCTCCCTCTCCCTCTCCCTCTCTCTCTCTCTCTCTCTCTCTCTCTCTCTCTCTCTTTCTCTCTCACACACACAAGTTCATTCACTTTATTTATATCTCGATATCGAAACAAACGGAGTACTGTTCCGCAGTTTGATCTCTAGTATCCTCTGGTGAAGAGAAGATACGTGATATCCAGTTCATCTCGTTCATTTCGCTACGGCGGAGCTGGTTCCACTCGCCGAGAACTATCAGCCAGCGCCGGTATTAAACTTTCGAATTTATAACGCACGTTGCGGCTATATCGATTGAACGCGAGCAAGCCATCGTCATTCGCCCGCGCCTTCATCGGAAGAGAATATTTCGCTAGAATATTATTAGCAAGAGCTCATCGAGTTGTTAACTGCTCATGTACCGGTGCAGCATATACCGCCAAGCTGAATTTACAACGCGCCGACTGCACTTCGGGCGATTTATACTTCGCTCGAACGACGGCGATATCTACACGTCGGAGCCACCTTGAATTATGACGGACTCAAAACAAGAGAGAACGTTCCTAGCTCGTGTTTGTTCATGGATACAGCTTTTGATAGATGATGCTAGCGAATGAAGTTCAATGGTGCAGCAAAATTGTTACTTTTTTATATATGTATTGTTTTTATGATCTCTTTTTCAGATAGTTTGAACGTTTTTCGTCACGTTGTGTTACTATATTATAAATCTAGCTAATTGAATTTTGAATAATTTTTCATAATTCAATAAAATTGAATAATTTTTTATAATTCAATAAAAATGTTTTATAACGAAGTAAAATGATTCTGAAAAATCTTATATACATTCACTTATAGGTACTTTATACAAATAATTCCTGTAAAATAAAAAGAATAGGAATACGTAGCATTACTGCCTACTGTGTCAGTTTTGGAGCCCATTTTGTCAGACGCTCATTTTTGCATAACTTACGAAAAACTTAATTATTGCAAAATTGTTAACAGTATTATAAAAATTGCTTATACTATCTGATAGAAGACACTTTTTACTTTGTATTTATATTTTTGAAGTCGTATTTTTACCTTTTGTTTGAGAAATATTGTCTATAAACAAAGTGGTATGTCGGTATCGGTGACCTTCCTCTATATACATAATAAACTTTGTAGTTTTACAGTAAACTTTTCCTCTATTCACGTGAAAATAAGTAACAAAAGCTAGAGGGTAATTGGCGAACATAAGGGAAACAACGCTACAGCGAAAGATAATATCAGATAATTGCCTACTATAAAGGGTATTTTACTTAATTATTTTCATTTAACATCTAGCGACATTAAGCCAATGGTAACTACATGATCGTTACATATGCAAGTTACATGCAAGACGATAGTATAATGATTTTTTCACGTGATGTGAGATTCTTTTCTTTTTGTCAAACGAGATCGAAAGGAGTTAGAGTAAATTACCATTATGGTTCACGGTAAACTCAAAGGGAAATGCGTTCCTCTGAGGAAACAGTGCGCGAACAACAACGTTGCTTCACGTAATACGCAAAAGTTTTTTGCGAACCATTTTCCCGTCCGCACATCATGCATAACTTGCAAGCTGAATACGCTGCACGTCGATTTTTCAGCTTCCGTCCCGTGCCCTCTTTATGCAATTTATATCCAACTCCTTAATTACATTAGTGCCGCAGGATTGCCGGACCGAGGCAGTGCGGATTAATTGGATTATCGACCCTTGTTGGTCATAATGTTTTGGCTCGAAAATAAAGATCAATGCTTCTTGCGAAGAAATAAGATAAGACCCACGCGATGCATCGGAAATTTTTTGCCTTTGTTTAAAAAAATAAAAGCAAATTTTTGCATTACAGTTGAGAAAATAATTATTAGCAAAATGTCCAATAATTTCAACGGCGGAAGAAAAGCAAATAATATTTACAAGCTTTGTGAGAAGAGGAAAGAGTAATAAAAAAGAAAAAAAGGCGGAAATAGAATAGTACACTTTTGGATTTTCTTTGGCAAATTCTTAGATTTTCGGAAAAATGAAAGAATTAAGTTCCAATGGATAAATTTGTTTTATAAATAAAACAATACTATAAACATATTTTATAGTTTTTATATTTAGAACATTTGTTCTATATAAAATGTAATAATATGGATCACAGAAAGAAACATAAACACTAAACGTTGTACTTTCTTTTAATGCACAACCCTATTTAAATTGTAAAATTTTATTTTATTAGGTAAATTCGCATACTTATAATTCCGCTATAACGTTTGGAGGTATGACGCACAAAATCATAAATAAGATTTGATTGTAACAAGAAAAAAAGAGTAAAGCGCACTGTTAAAAGAATTCTACCACAATCAAAAATAAAACGAATAACTATACGAAAAAAAAAATCGTCGCAGTAACAAACAAAATTGAATAAACGAAAAGATATAGAAATAGTAAAACCAGCAATATCTAAATATTACACGTTCGAGAGAAGAGAGTAATGTAGTAACGGTACGTACATATAGCAGTATAAAAAGAACTTTTTACGCGTATTCACCAAATTCGTTATTGTTTGTGCATAGATCCCCCTCGAAAACGCGGAGAAAGGAACAAAAAATCGTTTCTTTTACACGTTTTACCGTTATTTCGCTGTGATAAAATAACTCAACCTGCTGTCCGTGAACATCGTAATGTATTGTAAAAAACAGTCTCTTGAGAATCAAGAGTTGCAGAATTAATCAATCCTTTGAAAACCACTTTACGATCCACGTTTCTATTTAATAAACAGCTATTTTTGTTCTGAAAAGAATCCAATATTTTACCGTTTTATTAAAATCTCATGAAGATTATGAAGATAATCTTGCATAAATTTCTATTTCACGTAGGTGATATATAAGGCGACAAAAAGTGCGAGTGTTTATAAAATAAACATTTATGCACACATTTTATAATTAATATTCTACACAAAAATATGTTAAATGCATTCAAAAACATAAAGCAAATTTAACCGGATGGAAAATCGATTATTTTTATATTTTCTAAAAAAGTAACGGATCGCATGATCTAGGTATTCTATGCCACAAGAGCAATTTGTTTTATGGTTGCTGAGACGATTTTTACTATTTTTTTTTATCTATTTTCAACAGACGAAAGCATTTTACTTATAACAACACGATATTTAAATAAAATATTTTATTTTAATATTCTCTGTTTTTTTCACGTGACAATTCAAAAAAACTTATTTACCTTTCAATGTTCGTTGTAAAAGGATGTACGTGTAATTCATAAATGTCTATGATCCACGGTAACAACTTGTTTAGAGTGCCTTAATAATAAATTACTTCGCACAATTTTACTTCGAGGAAACTTCATTTAATTCCTTAATACCGCGACGCGCAAACTCGAAAGCTGGCACGTACAGCCGTTTCGACCCGCCGGAGGAAATTCACGTTATACAGCGAACGGTATCTGCACAATCTCACCTCGGAGCAGTTTGTTTGTGCATAGACTATTAGGCCAGGCCGCGTCCGATGACTATTAGCAGCCACCGCGAGGAATTAATTAATCCTTTCATTAAAGCCGCTGCGGAAGACCACACGGATGCCGACTGCCTGATCGTGGTCGCAATGTCACACGGCGAATCGGGTCTATTGCATTCGGCCGACAGCATGTATCCAGTCGATGCGCTATGGATTCCCTTCACGGGCGATCAATGCCTCAGCTTAGCCGGAAAACCAAAGCTGTTCTTCATTCAGGTAAGCATATCTAAGAGATATTCGTTGTACGTACAAGAATCGCGTGAATTATACGTACGCTATCCCTGTGTTCGACGAACAATGAGCGATTCCGCGCATAAAGAAGCGAAGCCACTTTCCACTTTCGTTCACTCCGAACGATCGCCCAAGTGATGGATCATCCCAAGTGAACCGTCTAAGCGGTGTTACATGCTGAGTAATTCGCAAGAGATTTATACGGATCATGTGAAGTGATTTATGAGTTAATATAAGATATTGTATGGCCCCCTGCTGTTGAAGTTAATTGGGTTTTCCGATAGGTACGGGTTCTTGTACTTGTATATCTTGTCTTTTTTGTACTTTGTCTTTGACCGGATGACTCACAAAAGATATCCAGGTCTTCTTTTTTCTAACAAATACTTTCATCACAATTTTATTTGTATTAAATTAAATAGGTACAGATTGAGCTCTCGAGATATTAACAACAATAATGAATATCACCATATATAACGAGCGGTTGAGAGCTGAAGAAAGACGCAGTTATTAAGTGCGCGTAAAAAATATATTTAAAAACTCTTACATCAATTTCGCAAGAGATTTATGCCCAATTTCTTCACTTCCAGATAATTTGCGGATAACCTTATCCAGGAGATATCTCCATTGTATTCTGGGAGATATCTCATGGATAAAGTTATCTAGAGGTGAAGAAATTGGGTATTAGTAAATTTCAAAATCGTTACGTTTCGGCTTCATTCAAGCCATCATCAGCGATGTTAGACAATAAAAGTGATCATTACTCGTGTCTTAGACGATCCAAGAGAGCAGCCGGAAGAGCCTCTTCATTTCCAAATTTTGAGAAGCATTCTTGTCCATTGATTGGTTAGTCAAATGAGAACTAAGGTCTGTTTTCTGTGGCTGAACTAGTGTACACTTTTGGAACTTAAAATGAGAAAGATATACGTTTGATATTTGTTTAAAGCGAGAAAGAGAGTACTAGAACAGTCTAGTGCAGGAACAGACTACTAGTAATAACAAATGTAACTTGTGGAAAAATGTTACGAAATAAGTGATATACTTCATTACGATTAACTAAAGAAACTCACCAGCTCCATTTATATTATTTAAATTTATAAATATACTGCGATTTAAATGTTTTCGTGCGTGAATCAAAATATGATACACATTTAATTTTATAGGGCGAAAAAGTTCCCCCCCCCCCCTAACAAAAAATGTCACATTTACATCACAATAGACTTAGTCATGGATAAATTGTGATAACACTGAGATTATCATAATAAAAGAACACAGCGACATTATATTATTATCTGTACATAGTTATATCCCATAGCAATATCACAGTGAGGTTCAACTTTTACTACAGCTGCAACTTTTATCACAGCTGCATAATGATGTCATAGCGATATCACACCTGTGACAAAGTGGACATTCGCACGTCACGACCTTTTTGTGATATTACTGTGACCTTTTTGCTATGGAGGTCATTATAATAACGCTGAAACAGTGTCACATTTTGAAGCAAGAAATACAATAAAATAATAAATTGTAACAAATCTTAGTGAAGAAAAATTGTAACAGTAAAAAAATGAAACTTTCCGCCCTCTAAAGGTTAAATTATCTTTAGATAATTTATTTGGGACAATGATGAAGAACGCGATCGCGTGGAACTATTTCTATGATTTTAACATTGTCCACATTTGCGTTTTGCGAAAATCCGGCCGTACTTTAATGACGTTAGAGAGACGAACGAAACGAGAGAGCGGGAAAAAAAGATTATTACATTTTTCGGTTGGTTTTGATATACAATATCCTTGTGCAGATATAAATTTAGTTAAATGCGATTGTATATCCTGCGTGCTTGTAACGTAACGTAACAGCAAAAGCGATATCCACGTTGGCTATTCTGATCGGAAAAAAGAAAAAAACTGTGACATGATTTTACAAAAATTGATATACAGAGTATCCGAGAACTGTCACCATTTATATATATACATATATATATATAATTTTATTTTATATAGTTTATTAAAAATAAAATTTAAATTATGTGTATGCACATTTTAATTAATAATATTTGAAACTAAATATATTTGATTTTATTTAACTTTTGATTTTAATTTGATTCACTATTAAAAAAATCGGGAGAGATATTTTGATAATTTTAACTTACGTTTCTCTCCATTTCTTCAAGAAACAAGTTATAATATTAGATATTGGTGTCCATTATTCGCGTATTTTCATTAAGACTGCAGAGGTAAAGTTTTCTCCTAAATTTCTGTAATTATTTGCGATCTAATGGATGGGAATAGATGACGTCAAAACTGATGATACAGAAATGGATGGCCGTTCCGCGAATTACAGAAAAAGGAAGTCAACCGTAAATAGGACACCCGCATTCCTTTCGCGCTGCGATGAAAATGACGTATAATTGCGACGGTGCGATGGTCCGCGTTTCAAAAACGATCAGGTTGACGCAAACGCGTTGTAATTCCGACGACAATGCCACGCTAGATCTAATTCTTTCCCCGAGCATAATCCTACCGAGATCGTTTTCCATTTAGAGATACTCCCCATTTATCTGCCTCACGACGATCTCGGAGGGATTTGCGGGCTCGCGCACATTAGTGCACCGTCGGGTTTTTAGCGGGTACAGCCAATGAAATATGTGCATTCTGCGATGTAATGGAAACTGTTCGCGCGCTAGAAACGCTGCAGTAATTAAGATTACTCTCCGTCCATCCTTGCCGGAGAAAGAGAACAACGGCAAAAACTATTATTTGCATAATTCCGAAAGTAATGCGAGCGCGTGCATCGTTTCGGGGATTTCGCCACTGGCCGAATTAAAAAGTACCGAGCGGGGCTATTCGTGTCGCGCAATATTCTATACATTTGTTATCTTTTTTTTCTCCTTTTATTTTTCTCCGCGTACCTTTTTTGTCCGCGAGTATTTCCGTCATGCTCGCTTTCCACGTTGCTCGATGTGCATACGTTGAGTTGGCCGAATACTTAAATATTTTAAATAGGGCAAAAACGTGGAAACACGCATTCTTCTTCAAGCACGTTATTATCGTTCTTATATTCGCACGTGACATTTGTATGCGCGTATACATATTCAAGTTACATGGAAAAAAAACAAAGTAGTACTATTTCATTGTGAAATATAAACTACAAAGGAGAATACAACTTCTTTCGCGATCGTTTGGGGATCGTTTCATTTCTATATTTTTTAAATGTATTTTTCTTCAGGAAAACCAAAAGTTATTATAACAATGATATTCAAATTCCCTCGTTTTTTTTTCAAATATATAAAGCAAATTTATAAAGAAATGGTCTATAATAGCAATACAAAGCAAACATATAAAGAAATGGTTTATAATCGAGCAGAACAAAGTTATTAACAATATTTTATCACTTTATTATACGAAGAACATTACAGGAGATCATTACAATAAAACGTCTGGTTTGGTCGAACGCAGATATTAAAATGACCTGTGAGTTACGAAACGTACATTAATTCTATATGTTCTTCGTACATTAATTCTATATATTCTTCGTATAATAAAGAATATAGAATTAACGTGGGAAGAACATATAGAATTAATATACCTTTCGAAAACTTATAAAAAATGTTGCCATAAAAGGTAAAAAAAAAATACATCCTTCTCGATCCATAAATTTTTAATTAATTTTTTATATCCGTTATGAATGTAGAAAGAAAAATTTTATGAATTTTTTTTCTTCCTACTATATTAGGAAATACCTTTAATTCACTTTCATTTCTTCATCTATAAAAGTTGTAAAACATATTTTAAAGACACAAACTATCTACAAAAATAATCACAAATAATCTTTAATTTATTTGAAAAAACCTGACAAAATTTTAATCATTATTATCGGTCGATATATCGACCGATAATGATTAAAATTTTATCAGGTTTTTTTGTGTCATCAAATGGAAAGCACCCAATGAGTATTGGCACCTTGAATACGTCATCATTACGCGGCAAATCCAAATGGTTAAAAATGAAATAAACCATGGTAGCGTCAATTCATTAAGATAAATGAAAGGATTTTATGAGAATGATGAGTAATAAGTATAAATTTGTGTAATTATTTTTGCATTATTTCGGTAATTATTTTTGCATCCTTACACTGCACAAACACTCATTGTAGCCAAACGGAACGGTTCCAAGCCGTCATGGCGCAGCCATATTTTAGCCGGCCGAAGTGCTCCGAACGTAACCGAGATTGCATGATTAATGTGACGTAGGCAAGGTGATGCGCAGAGGCCTCCTAAACTCGCCCACCGGTCGAGCGTATATATACCCTTGTATTTATACCATGGCAGCTATTATAAATCTGTTCTTCCCTCTTTCCAAAGGCCCTATATACACTCACAAGGGAATCTCACGAGGTGTCAAATTCTGATTTTAATGACACTTTGTGTACTTGTAGCTCACATAAAGAGATGAATTTAGATAATATTAGTTGGGGCGGAAAAATTTAAAGGGGTAACATCGCCCCTTACGTGTACAGCGGTTTTCAGCTTTTTCCGTTATATCTCGAAAACTTCGAGATATCATAAAATGTTTTATACAAAGTTTTACAATAAAATTACCTCTGTTCAATCACATCAATAAGATTTTTTTTAAATAAAAGAAATTTTTTTAATTTGAAAAAAAATGTTTATTAAAAATATTATTGATGTAAATGAATAGAGGTAATTTTGTTGTAAAACTTTTGTATAAAACATTTTTTGATATCTCGAATAGTTTTCGAGATATAACGGAAAAAGTTGAAAACCGCTGTACACGTAAGGAGTGATTTCACCCCTTCAAACCGTTTTTTCGCCCCAACTGATATTTTCTAAATTCATCTCTTTATATGAGCTACACACACACACACACAAGTTCACAAAGTTTCATTAAAATCAGAATTTGACACCTCGCGAAGTTCCTTTGTCAATTCCAAAAAAAGCGGTACACTATAAATTTGGGAAAAATTTACCAAATTTCAAATGATCATAACTTGGTAAATAATGAAGATAAAAATATTTTTAAAAAAGCAAAATGAAGCTTGAAATATCCACTTTGAGATTATTTGAATGGAAATTATACTAGGCCATTATTCTCAAAATGGCGGATGACAAGTAACAACATGCGAAAATGGATAATCAAAAGTCCAACTTTGCGATGGTGCATGATGTGAATCAGGTATCACTGTTCAATGAGACAACATGCGCGTAAAAGATATAGAATTTTATCTTTAAAATACTTTTTTACCGACCTCGATACGATCATTTTTCGCGAAGTTATTCCAAATTTAAGATACCGCTGTCATTAGCTTAAATTATGCTTGTAATTTTTTCCAATATGAACTGCATAGAGTTTGATTGGTCGAAACACCACGTGCGTGCGTGCGTGCGTGCGTGCGTGCGTGCGCGATATATTGCTGATTTTTTATTACGTTTACAATTATACAGTATTAGAATTACACGAATAGAATGATTTAATTTTTACCTATTTTGAAAAGTACGAACACGACAGAAATATATTATGAAATATTTATAGAAAGAAGCGAGGAATCGTTCCTAACTTTGATATTTAAATTGAAATAAAAAAAATTAAATTAATTTAATTTTAAAATTTTAATTAATTAAATAAAATTAATTAAAATATAATAATTAATTAAAATATAATAATTAATTAGGAGTTAATATACATATAATAATCGACTAACTTATATAACTTTTGATCGTTAAAAATCGTTGATTAATATATTAGTCTTAGTCGCAAGACAATTGCGAAGATTATGGAGGGACGATCAATCAAGAACAACTATTCCGACAATGATTGTAATTTAGTTTGCCATGAAAGAAAAAGGATCGAAAGGCCAACTTGCCGGATATCTTTCGAAATTACTGCTTCCGTCCCAAATAGAGTTAGAGGATCGATGATCCCAAAGATAAAGCGCGACGGGGATAAATGAGCGCGATAAAGTTAGCGCTGGTAACGATCGAAATGATTAATAATTTGATTTCGTGTCTCGAATGCGCGCGTGCATTCGAGAATCCTAACGGATAATAATTCGCAAGACTCAATTATAATCTTAGATTCATACCAAAAGGTCCAACCAAAATGACAATTATTTCGAAAGCAAATCCAGACACGAGTCCTCTCAATGTGTAAACGTGTACCTAAATCATATATCTATGTAAACGCGGCTAATCAATTGCGAATTATCCGATCGATGATTCGACCGATACCAATTTGAAATTTTAACAACATGGTGTGAAGAGAGTTATAGTATAGAAATTATACACAGATGAGATTATTGGAATTTTCGAGCAATTGCACAGACGCACAAATTCTGATCTTTATCTATCGAAACTAACGTTATTTTCTGTACACTTGAAAGCTGTGTGCAGCCACGGTAGCCTCAAGTAAGTAGCTTCCATATTTCTTGCTGCGCTTCCGTTCAAGCTGCTCGTCTTTCGTTAACGACGCTGTAAACATCGATAGATCTGCGTGTAATTGTCTCGTACATTCTATTACGAGTTTACCTTTCCAAAGAAAAGAAATTGCAGCACTTGGCTACCGGCCATTAAACATTTAGCTTTTTAATATATCAAGCAGCCGTTCTTACTGTAAGATGTACAATTTTTATCAGAAGAAATAAAACTGCTAAATTTAGAAACTCTGCTGTTTATCAATTTTTCTGAAGCCGTTGAGATTCATTTAATGACAAGTATTACTAAAATAACACAAAGGATATATGTATCAATTATTATACTTTAATAATTTCCATAAACAACACTTATTCCGTATTTAAAAAAACAGATTATCGGAAGAAGAATTAATTGCTATTACTAGCAGGTATATGTTATTAAAAATAATATGGGTTAAATTCAAAAGTCGAAAGGGAAATATTAAAGTTGATAATAAAACTGTAGGTTGTTTCGATATTTTTGTTGATAATATTATGGATTAAATATTGCTATCGGAGAGCTAAATGTTTTATCGTGTTTTATAATATCTGCGCCACTGCAACTCTTTTTCATGTTTATGTAGTTCCATGTTTATGTAATTGAATAGCCGATAACAGCTCACACGGCAAATCGATTTTTATGTGTTAAACACAACAAGAATCTAGAGTGCACGAGAGATATAAATACAAATTATTACATTTTATATATATTTTTATATATTATATGTACGTGTGTTTACGTATATGTGTATATGTTGCAACGGCATACATAAAAATGACGTTGTTAAGAATTGCATTAACGTAGCCAGAATTCGGACCTGTATTGCATGGCGATTCCAGCCGTGCACGTAGATATTGTACGTCTCTCGTTTCGTGAGCGTTTTAATAATCTCGCGAATCGCGCGGATTATGATGTCACGTTAAAGCGTTTTAAACAATTCGCTGGACGTTTTTGCACGGAGAAAATCTCCCACTGTCGCGGGTCCATGGATCTTTTACGTGCCGAGAAAATCTAGTATCGTCGCTCACATGTGCATTTTTCTTTTCCGCAGGCATGTCGCGGGACGCAATTGGACAATGGAGTGACATTTTTTCATCAGACAGATAGTATAAAGAGTAATACACTCAAATACAGTATACCCGCCTATGCAGACATCTTGGTCGCGTACTCTACTTACGACGGTATGTATATGTATACGTAAATATAGAGGCTACAGAATTTTTATTTACTTTTCTATTATTCGTAAATGTTAGCAAAGAACAATATAAGTATTAAAAAATTAGAAGTATGAAAGAGTATTATACAAGGTGTCTGGCAAGACTCTAGGAATAATTTACAGGAAGGTAGGTGGGATTAAACTGAGTCAAAGAGTACTCTACACACACCATTTTGCAATTTTCGCAATAATTAACAAGATATTAATTACTAAAAATCGCTGAATATTGGTTTTCAATAATTTTTTACTCAAATACTATCAACTTTATAGAAAAACAGCGAAAGACAAAAATTGTTAAATTGTTAGTTTTCTTCTCATAAAGTTCTAAGAATTTTTTCAGAATTTTTTAATACCGTATATTCTCATGTTGGTAAAAATAAGAAAATGCAATATTTAAAAGTTGATAAAAAAATCTGAAAAAATTCTTAGAGTTCTATGAGAAGAAAATAAATTATTTTTGTATGTTGCAGTTTTTCTGTTAAGTTGATAGTATTTGAGTAAAAAATTATTGAAGATCACAATTTTTAGTTAATTATTGCGAAAATTGCAAAATGGTAGAAGACTTTTCGACTCAGTTTAGTCTCATATATCTTTCGGTGAATTATTGTTAGTCTCGTTGGACACCTGGTATATTTTGAACTATCATATAATGCGTGCGCGCGCGCGCGTGTGTGTGTAAATATAAGTTTATAAGAAAAAGATCAAGGTATAGAAGGGAAGTTGCATTCAATAAACCAATTGTCAATGCATAGTTCTTAATCGATGCGTGTAATCACTAGATTAAAAAAATTTGATCTTATCCAAGTTGTAAGTTCTTTCTCATTTGCTTCTACTCATAGCTACAATATAAGTGAACAAAGAATTATATTATCTAATTTCTCTTCATAAGTTACGAGAGATATTTTAAATGTCCTACTATACTCTTTCTGTACATATATCTTTATCTCATCTTCGTCTCATTTCTTTTAACAATTAATATTAGTTTTATTTGTTTCACAAGTCATAAATGTAGAAATTTGAAAGGGGGAGCAGACGATAATTCTGAGTTGCTTTATACGAACAAACAGATACCACAAGTAGCTGCTACCGCGCATAAATGCACACGTAAGCTCTATTTCAAAATAGTCCGTCCCAAGATAACACAGGGAATCTGAACAAAGGTGGTACTTCAAAACGGTGTGACGAAGAGTTATAGGAATGTCGCGCGCGGATAATCCAGTCAGGGAATATATTTTCCAACATGTTTCCCATTCGATTTACTGAAGTAAGCGTTTCCTGATATCCATTTGGAACTTTGATGATAAGGAATTATAATTACGTAAATGAGATTATCGTGATTTATATCAAGACGCAAGTTGAACAAGCTATTTATCAAGAATAGCCTGTAGATAGATCAAAGTAGCGGAGATTAATAGAGCTTCCTCCAGAATAAGAAAAAATAAACCATAGACAAAAAATTAGACAAAAAAATATATATTAATATAACTAGTATATGTTTGAAACAATTTTTATGTTCACAATGTGAAATCGCAGAAAAATGAATTGTATAAATTTATATTCTTTTTCTCTGCTAATAACAAATAAATTACGATTAATTATGCTGTTGATAACAAGTCAAGCAACCTGAAAAGATACCTGATAATTTTTTATCATTAGGTACATGTTATATATTATAGTTAGAAACAAATATGGAAGTATGGATTATATGTGCAGCATGTATATAGCACGATATAAATCTGGGTAATAAAGAGCAATTGAAAAAATAATGATGCTTACCGCTTGAGTAAAGGTAGGCAAATAATGAATGGCCTCGTATATGGTACTCGCTAATGAGGATGTTTACTCAAATTTCAAGCCTTGGGCAACCATCATTAGTACGTGTAATGCAAATATATTGAAAATATTTGGAAAAATACAAGATAAATTATACTTGTCGAACTCATACATATAAGATGATGTTCGTGTCTATAAAGTTAGAAATGAAAGCGAACAGAGATACAGTATTTTTCAATGGAGAATCAATGAGTTAGGAGGCATCATATTTCTGACAGAAAAGTAAAAAACTCCAATTTATAGATTTTAATCGGAACAAAGTCTATATTCAACATTATTAATCAAATATAAAATGTTACAAAATACAGTTTATCAAATTTTAGTCTAAAAAAAAATTGCATTCACCCTCTAAAAGAACCCATCCTCAAATCGACGCGTTTGCATTTTCTACACGTATGTATCATTCTCTATAGCATTCTCATTTGTATTTCTTATTGCGCTTTGTGTTTGTTGCAACGTCTTCCTAACGGTGCTCAAATTTCCAACGATAATTGCATTGAAACACGTTTCAGTGCCAGCTCGTACTCCGCCGAGTGGAAGATATCAAGAATTAACGAGATACTCAATTACACTAAACAATAAACAGATATAGAATACGAATTAAGCTTCTTCTTCTGGCACACGTCCGAGATTCTATAGCATCATAAGCTGCTTATTCTAAATAATGCAGGCTTTGCGAATGGTACGACCGTGTGATGTATAATCTACGCCAATTCCTCAATTACACCTCGACTCCTAACGTTTCTCTGCTCCCATGCCGACCGAAACTCATTAATGAATGTAAACCAATATTATTTGCAACTCAATACCTTCAATATGATCCAGCTGCTCTTTGAAATTTCCAATTATTATACCAATCATTGTGTGTTTGATTGCCTCGCTATATTTATAATTTCTTGCATGTATAATTTGATATAACCAGGATTTATCATATTCTTGATATAAATTCTTAAGAGTTCGTACAAAAAGAATAATGGTTTTGCTGAAATATTTATAAATTTAGCTAGATACAGATGTGAAAATAATTTTGTTGAACTATAAAAATAATTATGTAGAACGCTCATTATAGTAAAAAGAATATTAAAACTTTTTACGGCATTGGTTATTATGCTTCAATTTCCTACATAATTATTTTGATGAAAAATTATTTTGATGAAATACACTTTCCAACACTGTTTTGCAACACAAATGTAAATAATTATTTTCGATGTATTTTTGCCTGCTGAACACAAATTCATTAATAAAATATGACACGCCACAATTTTGAGAAAAATAGCCTCAAAGAGACAAAATACGATTTTTTTAAGATTTACATAACGCTATATAGCAACAGTACTAAATTTTTTTTAAATTTTATTAACTCTAAATAAAAGTATTAATTTTTAGCTTTAAAATACTTTTGTTTCGACATAATTTTTCATTTTTAAAATATATTAATTTGAAAAATAATACTTGAATAATAATAAGTGTATTATTATATATTTAATATATTACATAAAAAGATAATTGTTTTTAAATTGGTAGTATTTCGAAAACGGAAAATCAATTTAAAAACAAAATGCATTTTAAAACTAAAAATTGATACTTTCGCATGACATTGATAAAATTAAAAAACAAATTAGTATCGATACCAGTAAAGACTCCCTACCTATGAAATCGTCATTTTTTGCCTTTTTACGTTTTTTCAAAATTATAACGTGCTAATCAAATTTTGTTAACGGATTTGTGTTCAGCAGGAAAAAATATGTCGGAAATGATTACTCACACTCGTATTGTACAAAAGGGTAAGATTTTGTCGGACAATGTTATTTTTAAATCTGTATCTGCCTAAATTTCAGCAAACTCGTTCTATCCATGTATTCTTCATCATAGAAGAGCTTACACAAATCTCAGTAGAATCTCAATAATACAACCGTTTTCGGGGATTGCAACGCGTATTTTCGTGTTTAATCCAGCTGGAAATCGCTCGTTAAAGAGAGGTGTCTAAAAGCGAATTCGTTGTGCGAACATCGGCGACAACGCCCATATAATACGACGCGTATATTTTCCCGCGGTTTCCGCTCGTGTACAAACATTTGACTTGCTGTTGCTAATGGAGTGCGAGAATTTGTGTTGACAGTGGTGTATACCAACGGGGTACAACAACGTCGCTGTCTAGCGAGAACGTCAATCAGTCAACTGATAAATCGATACATGCGCTCGTATACTGTCTCGAATCGAACTGCATCTAGGATTCAACCTAAATACGATTACAATAGCTCGCGATATATCATACACTAACAGTATACAAATACATTGGAACGTTTAATGTTCTCCCGTTACTCAAGCATTTCCTTCTGTCGTCTTGAACGTTGTTCCAAAGCCTTTATTCGATAACTAAATCTAGACTTCGATAAATAATTGTAAACCTTCATCATTTAAATTAAAGAATTTACAATTACAAATTTATTTTAATATTTTAATTAAATAAATTTTTGAGTTATAACATATTACATATATAGTAAAATATAATCGAACAAAACAATGATTTTTTTTCTTAATTTGTTTTTTTGGCAATTATTATTAAAAGTTGCAAAAAGTTCTATAAATTGGACACAAAAAATAAGTAAATCTATGTAAAACAAATTCTGGACATATTTAAAATAATTTCCCAACAAAAATGTCATCACAAAAAACTGTCTATATAAAAGATGTTACATTCTGATAAATCCAAATAATCCATAAATACGCCGCAAACGTATTTATCGCGTATTTATATCCCTCGATATAAAAATAGAGAAAATATTTTTAAAAACATTTCGCATGTGTAAAACAATGTATCGGTTTATTATTGTTGTTGTAAGAAACGAGAGTGCATCGAGATGTAAATAATAACTTCTGTAATTTCTAAGATATCGATACGAAATAAATATTGACTTTTTTTAGAGCAGGAAGTTTTGTAACTGAAGTTGGATATCATCCAAGCTTGTTCAAACGACTATTTTGAAACGTTCCTGGTCGTTCGTAGCCAAGTTTCACATCGTGATACATTTTTTCGCTCCTCTTTCATCTCCGTTTACATCGATCGATGTAGAAATATTGTTCTTTCTTTCTTTATATTTTTCTCATGTACCCATTAGCCAGCAAATAAAA